TGGAGGTGAACATCTGAGTACACAAGGCAGTCAAGTAAAAGGTATTAACACTTCTGAATTGAAAATGTGAACTACAAAGCTCCGGTAATAAAAATAGCATGGCGTTGTCGTAAAGAAAGACACACAGATTAATAGAACAGAATAGATAGCCCTACGTAGCCCACACATTACAGCTAACAGATAGTAACAAAGCAGTGAAGAACACACAATAGAAAATGGACAGCTTTTTCCACAAAGGGAAAACTAGATATCCACATGTAGACAAATAACAATAGACTGCTGTCTCTCACTGGTTACAAATATCAACTCAAAATGGGTTAAAATCTTAAATGTAAGACCCAAAACTGTGGAAGTACTAGAAAAAAACAGAAGTGAAACACTTCAGGGCATTGTCCTGTGCAATGATTTTTTGGGGGGACGTATGACTCCAACTGGCCAGGCAACAAAAACAAAGATCGACAAATAGGACTATTAAAATCGAAAGGGTTTTGTGTAGCCAGGGTAACAACAGAGCAAAAAGACAACTTACAAAATGGGAGAATATTTGCAAAGTGTACATCTGACAAAGGGGTAGTACCTAGAAGATATAAGGAATTCAAACAACATCAAGAACAAAATAAGACTTAAGATGGGATGAAGGCTTGGCTTTTTATTCCAAGTGGCTTCCCGCCTTCCTCTGTGCCCTTTCAACACATTTTCCACTGTTGCCATCATGACACTACCCATTTCCTAGTCTGCTCCCTCTTCATCTCCAAATTTCATATCTTGAGATTTTAATTCCGTGCTCCCCAGGGTGTTTGGCCACCCTGCAGGGCCCAGTGCGCCCCCTCTCCCTGGCCCAGTGCATTCAAGCATTAATCTGCCCTGACCCAGCGTTTTTCTCATGAGTTGCTCCAATGATAAGCCCAATAATAAGGACCAGTGTTGGCCTGCCTTGAGTAGAGCCGGCCTATTAATTTTATTAATGGGATCGTCCATGAAAGCAAGTGCAGGAAAATGCTCAGCATAGCATTAGCCGGCATTCAACTAGAGGAAACGGACATAAAAATAAAGAACATTGAGGCCCAACTATGTGAAGAAGGCTACACCAAACCTTTAATTTTATTTTAAAGTTCATTAGATTTAGGGGCAATAATGATAATCACTGGGTGAATAACAAGTAATTATCTCTGAAAAATGAAGAACAAAAGATGCACTAGAGGATTGGACAGCCGATTTTCAGAAAGGTATATTAAGTTTGACAAAAATCTGAGTTTGAAAATCCTGACAGAAGCAGCAGGGCTGGGGAGATGGCTCAATGGAATAAGCACCTCCCTGGCAAGCACAAGGGCCTGAGTTCAATCCCCAGTTCCACAAAAAAAAAAAAAAAAAGAAGAAGAAAAAGCAGCCACCAGGACTTTGTCCACACGCCCACCACCACCTCCCAGACCAGCCTCAGTTCCCAGGCTAATGTTGTGTGCATGAGAGAAACGTAACGTGAACATACAGGGCCTTTCATAATAGTTTTGTGAGAAAAGTTGCAAGGCTCATTAAATGGATTAATAATTGATTATAATAAAAGAAATAACAGGTCACTTTCCCTGAAGGACTAGGTGGTGGAATGATATAGGGCTCTGTCTCCGTTCTATCTTTTATCGTCTTATATATAATTGTACATATATAATGTGAAATATGTATATTTTATATGTGCACATTAGATTTACATAAATGGTATGCTAATATGTATATGTATAAAACAGCTAATATTTGTCAAATCTGCACCGGATACCAAACTGGGAGACAGAGTGAATAAGTTCTCCAGCAGAAAGGGGATCCCAGTCAGATTTACCTTGTGTAGGAAGACTTCTGTAGTAGTGCGCCTACTCCAAGCTCCACTCAATACCCCTCCTGTCTGAGGCCTGGCGTGGGTTCCCCAGTCATTTATTCCACCCTTCCACCTTCCTACCTGCCATATCAGTCTCTCTGCACAGCCAGTTGGTCTTAAGTACCTCACACACAATATTTGCTGAAAGAGCTCATGGTGGGACCTGTACTGACAAGCCTAAACTATCAAGATGCAATTTACAAGGTGGAAGTCCTGCCCTTGGTTTTTCCCTAAGAAACTAAAAAAGCACAAGAGAGTAGTTTGCTTGCTCATAGCATGCATAAAAAAAGAAAGGTTTAGATAAGAATAAACTCATGTTAAAACAGTATATCACTGCTTTACTCCTCCTCCTCCTCCAAAATTCAAAGCAAATGTGGTCTTAATGGGATGTAAGTATCTGACACCTAAAACACAGACTGTGAGTCCCTGGAGCAAACAAGACCACCTTGTTAAAGTTCTGAGTGGTACATTTTAAGGAGGAACTTTAACACACAAGAATACATTCAAAGGAGAGCCATCAAAATTATGAGGAGACAAAGAAAAAAAGATTATTAAGAGTCTAAACATCCTACCATAGTCATTCAGTTTCTCACTCATTTAACAAATATAAATTAAGTATAGAATGTTTCCAGGCAATATATTGGGTGCAGAGAGTAGAGCAGTGGAAACAATATCTAAGAACAATCGAAGGAAATAAGATTATTTTGGGATATAAGCAGTGATCCCTCAAATGAGAATGAGCCAAGGCTATTTGTTCCAGAGCTTTGTATAACAAAGGAGTCCCCCATGAATCACTTGCATTTAGTGGAGAATCCTGGGCAGGCAGCCAAGGGGAAAGCTTTTCATGGGTTGGAAAGAAGAGAAGGCTTCAGGTCGGCTCTAATTGAAGGCTCATGGCGTAGGGAAACTGGAGGTCAGATCACTAGATGTAGGGCATCTATGGAACTGGTTTGGGGACATATGCTTAGCCTTCTCTGGTTGGTGCTGAGTTGGCAGTGGGAGCAAACACCAGAGAAGCGGGCAGTCGGCGACTGGATCCTGACCATTCTAGAATGATGGCTGCAGACCTTATGTCTTGGCTTTCTGAACTGGTTGTTCCATAAGTTGCAGGTTTGAATATATGATCACAAGGCCTGGCCATAATTCCGTTGTATGTTTAGCCTCTAATATCGAGCATCAAGAAGACAGTGTACACTAACAACTGCATTCAGCACATAAAGGACTGTATTTAAATACTTTAAGGTCTGTGGTGCTGAAGAGGTCTGAAGGATCTCAATACAACAAATTAAAACCAGTGGTGGAAAAATTTTGAATTGAATAAAAAATGGTCTACATCTCTTTGCTATCTACAATTTCAGTTCAAATCGAGGCCAAAAAACCTCTTTACAGGGATACCACAGAACAGATCACAAACTTTTGTGTTTGTCAGCACAAAGTGATAATCTTTCTTCATGACCAGTGTAGAAGCTTGGGCTCTGTCCTTGATCCGTTGGTCAGATCAGTGGTAGAGTATGATTCTGCTATGAAATATTTGTAGAAGGAATGCACACAGTGGACGGGTAGTTGTATTGGATGGCTGGTAGGATTCTACTCTCTTTGAGGGTACTTTTGCATACCACAGTCACAACCAGAAAATAAACCATTCATTCATTTATTTGATAATATTGACTGGGGAAATAAGTAGCTGACATTATGCCAAATTCTATAGATTGTATTTTAATTGCATTCCCACATGTCAAGGAGGTGGCTGTGAAAAGAACTCATTTGTTCATTCTTCAAAGATTTATGGAGGATTTATTGAACCTAACTGAAGCTCCCCACTGCACCCTAGTGAGCTAGTGATGAATAAGATTGATGAAGTCCTTTCTTTCAGATCTTAACACTAGGAAAAAAGAAAAAAAATATATTTACAGTGAGAATTACACGTTATGCAAAAAAATACATAAATACCAAACCATAATTCTATTCTTCTCTGTATCATAAATCTAATTAAAAACCAATAAATTTTTCTGCTTAGGCAAGCACAGGGATGAGGGTTCAGTCCCCGGTACCACATGCCATGCCAGCCTCACCCCCACTAGGCACACTGAGCAGGCCATGGAAACTGGATGTGGTTGCACATGCCTGTAATCCCAGCGCTGGGGAGGCTAAAAACAGAAGGATCACTATGAGTCTGAGCTGTATAGGGAGACCCTGTGCTAAATACATTCTAAAATAAATGCTGTGTGATCCTTAATTATCCCTGAAATCCTGATCTGGTGGAACTAAATGAAGGAAATGTTATCATTTTGCACCTGCTTCTCCCTCTTGCCCTCCTCCCTGCTACGCAAAGAGATTAGAATCCTGGTCATCACCACGCTGACCTCATCTGGACATTCGTATGTCCCTTAGGCTGCAATCTGAGGCTTCAATAGCAATTGGCTACTATTGAAGCCTCAGATTTCAGCCTGTTGTGCCAGCTCCCTGAGAATAGCTCAACTTCTCCAAAGGAGGACCCCTGTACTGGGAGCACCTGACCTCTGTCCTCGCCCCGCTGTTCAGTCTCTATAATCTGAACTGTTACCAGGAGTCTTGTGTCAAGCTCAGTATCCCTTTCGAGGCCCAAGATATTGCCATATTCCCGTTGCATGAAGATTTACTATACGCTGTACACCTCTGTCAGATCAAATTCTTCCCAACGGAGGCGAGGCCAGGCCAAGTTCTTTGAGGAGCAGCTCCACAGCAGTCAGTCCTCCTGAATCGTCCTTTCCCACCCATCCTTGCTCTTCTATCCCCACGAGGCATCAGGATGTCCCACTTTGCCTTTGTGCAACCTCAAGTCACCGCAGCCATAGGTATACTTATATTTACTTGTGAGTGATATCCAAGCCAGATCTTGCAATTTTTTATATGAGCATATCCTGTAGAATTAGCCCACTCTAAAAAAGGTCATTTTTAAAAATTAAGTGTATATGACTCTTAGCTCTGAAATCAGCTTTAGATTTAATTTAAAACTTAGCCTTTAGCTTTGGACTGTTTCCTATTGAAATAATTGAACAATTTAAGGAAATAAAGCTGTGCAGGAAAATGCAACAACTTTCTTTGTCTTTGTTCTTCCCCCTTTCAAAGAAGTGTTTCACTTGTCTGCCTTTTTCAGAGCTTCTCCTTGTGAGGCTGAGCTTCAGGAATTAATGGAACAGATTGACATCATGGTAAGCAACAAAAAGCTGGACTGGGAACGAAAGATGAGGGCTTTGGAGACGCGATTAGATCTTCGCGATCAAGAGTTGGCAAATGCACAAACTTGTTTGGATCAGAAAGGTCAAGAGGTACTGAATGTGTGCGTTAACAAGCAGCTGCTTCCTGAGGCTCTTACAGATAGACAGTCTCGCTCTATCATAGTATGCTTTTTCATTATAGATACTTTTTCATAGGCACTAGCAACAGCATTGATCGTGTAGCATCCTAACTGTATTCAGTGAAATAAGGGCAGGGATTAAGTCCATAGATATTTACTGATGAAGAGAGGCTTAGGAGTGTCAATGCCATCTATAAAAGTAACTGTTCAAATGTATGTGAAATCAATATTATTTGTGAACAAATATATGAATGTTTGTGTTGCTATAGAAACAAAAAAAATGTTATCAAAATTGTGTCCTTCAGGGTAGAGTTCGGGCATGTTTGCTTCAGCAGTGTATATACTAATACAGAATTCAGGGGCATTTGTTTCTTTTGATCTGTTAGAAAAATATTTCTGACAATGAGATATCAAAAATTGGTTGTATGTAAAAAAAGACAGTAGAATTAGGCCAAAATGTGTGTCCGTGAAAGGGGCCCACTGAGGTGGGGTCCTCTCAGCACCCTAGAGCCTGTCCACTGCCCAAACGCGTGCTCAGCCTGAGTAGTCCAGGACAGCCGTGTGCCTTATTTATGTGGACTTTTGTGTCTCTGGATATTCCTTTTTGGTAAGACATGAGACACTTTATTAATCATGCTCAGAAAAACGTCATCAACTAACTTGTGATCAGCTATTTTTTTTTTATCTTTGTTGGTGTTTCAGTGTAACTTGGCTTTTTTCCCTTCACAGTAACTTACAGGTCTTCAGTCCTGGAACACACAAACAGTCGTTCTCTCTCTTCTACACCTGTAATGGCACATACATATCTATGTGAACAAGAACCTTACCTGCCTTTTTAAGCAGATCGACTCAACAAGCCAAATTCTTAACATTTCTTAGACATTCTTCTTTTTAAAAATGCTAGTTCCTATTTAATATGTCACGATTATTCATAGTACTACTAAAGCAGACCTCCTCTTTCATGCAGTGGAAGGTAGGGAGGAGGGGAAAGAGCTGAATTATGCTAGAAGAGTTTTACCTGAGTAGCAATCGTGTAGCCTCCTAAAAGAGAATGCAAAGTAAGTTCAACATCTTTGCTTAAAAGGTGATCGTGATAAGAACCTTTTGTTAAGTATCTATTACTGTGCTGTCTTAATGTGCAGCTAGGAAAGTAATGCTAGCAGTGTTTGGTTTTGGTGAATTTAATTATTAATAGCAACTTTATGAACTGCAGTATAAATGTTTATTCTTGGTTTGAGACAGCAGTTTTATTTGAATTGTGCTCCTCTTTTGCACATTTTCTGGATTGGTTGGGCAAATTTTAGGAAAAGCATAAGTAAATTTTATTCTTTATGCAGGTAGGGTTACTCCGACAGAAGTTGGACAGTCTGGAAAAATGTAATTTAGCAATGACTCAGAATTACGAAGGACAGCTTCAATCGCTAAAAGCTCAAGTAAGGAAATTTCTTACAATCATATTACGCATTTTGCTACATGGTTTTATGACTTAAAGAACTGTGTTAACTTTATTAAGACAAATTTGTTGTTATTTGTAGTACTAGGGATTGAATCCTGTACCCTCATCATCTTCAACCCTTTAGATGGGGCTAAAGTCACTAAATCACTAAATGGACAGGTTGGGCTTCAACTTTTGATCCTTCTGCTTCAGCCTCTCAGTGCTGGGAATAGAGACATGCACCACCCCACCCTGCTAAAGTTCTTGTCTTTCGCACATTTTGCCCTGTCGTGTGTGTGTGTGTGTGTGTGTGTGTGTGTGTGTGTGTGTACTGGGAATTGAACTCAGGATCTCATGCTTGCCAGGCGGGCACTGTCTCACTGAGCTATATCACCAGCCCGCCCTTTAATTGTTTTGTATATATTGGCTTTGTTTCTTTTAGAGATTATCAGCTCTCTCTACCTTACCTCTTTAGCTGTCATCACAGTACTGAACAAATAGTTTTCAATTCCACTAGCCACTCACTGACTAATTAATTATAATAATTAGCTACTGAATAACAGCAAACCCCAGATTATCTCCAGTAGTTATTCCTATCTAACATGAATGTCCTTTGGCTATGATAATTTAAAATGTGGAAGTCTGTTATTATGAAATAAATCACTGAAAGGATAAAACTGGTCTTCACTATCTTGTTACTGGTAGGGCTGTTTCATAAATCATGGTGCTTCTGCATATTTCATCGGAGTCCTTCTGATTTCTTTCTTTTTCATCCCTGCCACTTCCTAGTAGTAGATTTGAGAAGCAGTGTTTTTCTCCTTTACCACAAATATCTCATAGGATAGTAATCATTTGAGCTTCTCAGAACTAGCTGGTGCTATGCCCTTGCTTAACCTAGTAAATAAATCAGTAGGAAATAGGATTATTATGAAAATTTCACCTTATAACCAACTTGCTTGGTGTGCAAAGATTGATGTATGATAATATAGTTAAAAAGAACCCAAGGTAGTTAATAATCCTTCGTAAGCACCTTTTTAGGAGGGCACTCAGTCATTAAGACTGAAATCTTCTGAGGCCGCTTAACAAGTTGGATCTTAACTATTACCTTAACAGGTAAGACTAGAGGATTATCTTTGCCCACCTAGATTTTCCCTGCAATTCCCTGCAATTGGGACAGAATGGTAGCTTGAATTATGAAATTACATATATTTTTTACAAGATGAGACTCCAAACATGTAAAACTTAAATCAGTAAGTCTAGTTTTGCCATATGCTATAAAATATTGACATAGATATAAAACCATTGAAATTGTTTTATACTTCTATACCTATTTGAGACTTACATTGACATTATTTATAAAAACAACTGACGATCAGTCCAGAAATTGGAGAGAAATATTTTGTAGGTTGCTTAAGAACCTTGGGATCCAAATAATGGCCCAGTAGTGAGTCTCCCGGGATTTCTTTTTGCCTCATATGCTGAGTAACATTTTGAGTAACTAGAAACCTTGATTTGCCAGCAGGAGCACACAAACAGAGAAGCCCAAAAAAATCTTGTCTGTAGTCAAAAGATCAAGCAGTAGACAAACTAATAATATAAAGCACATCAAGGCAGTGACTACAGATAATGCCACAGCAAGTACAGCCTCTTCTCACCAGCAAATGCTGACCCGAAACCTAGATTTCTACCCTTTCCAGACTGTAATGAGGTAATTCAGGCCCCCTGCTTGGGCGGTGTCAGAAAAGATGAATGGAAGATTTTTATCATTAGCAGACATTAGCAAAGCCTCCTGCAACTGGGGTGGTTATCAGTGGAAACCGATGGGGAGCGCTGGAGTTTTCCACCTACCTTAGGGTATAAGGTGCCCCATCCCCTCCTCTCTGGGGTGCTAAAGTAGCCTGTGAGGATTCATTGTGGCTTTTTGACAGCAAGGCCACCCCTGGCACCACTGCAGTGTCACTGAACACCATGAGAGAGCCAGCACTAAGGCCTCCATTCTCCTCTAATCAGAGCGTCATCAGGGAAGGACAGTGTGCGGCATGAATTCTCACTCCCGCTGAGCACAATAAGGAGCGCCCCCTGGGTAGCAGCTGAGCCCACGTCAAGCCTGGATTTCTGTGGCTACCTGGCAGTATCAAGGTGCCACTTCATTTTCTTTGCTGGTACATTGTCAGAGGATGGCCATTAAAGTACAATACTTAGGGGCCGGGGAGATGGCTCAGTAGGATAAGCGCTTGACCGGCAAATGCAAGGATCTGAGTTCAATCCCTGGTTCCGCAAAAAAAAAAAAAACAAAAACAAAAACAAAAACAAACAAACAAACAAAAAAAGCAATACTTAAATATAGCCCATAGTCTCATAATAAAATGGCCCCAAATTCCCAGGTTCACGAGCAAACCACTCATGATAACAGGATCAAGGACAGTCTCAACTTGATGTCAATGCAAAATGACATAGATATTGGAATTATCTGTCAAGGAATTTTAAAGCAGCTGCTATAAAACTGCTTTGGTGAACAATTGCAAACATGTTTGAAAAGAGTAAAATATTAGAAAGTTCTAGCAAAGACATTTGAAACAATATGAAGAACTAAATAGAAACTTATAACTGAAAATATAGTAATCAAATTGAAATTTCAGTGGAAAAAGTCAGAAGCACTATGGAGAGGGCAAAAGACTCTGTGAACTTGAAGATGGTACAATGGAAATCATTTAATCTGAACAACAGAGAGAAAAACCTAAAGCAAATACCTCAGGAATGTATAATGAGAAGTTTAAAATTTGTATCGTTGGAGGTCCCAGAAGGAAAGGAGAAATGTGGGAAAGTATTGAAAGAAGTAAACAATAGTGCAAAAGTTCAAAAATTTGACAAAAATACCTATGGATATTCAAACAGCTGAATGAAATTCATAAACCCCCAAAATCTATAGCAGGACATAGTACAACAAAGTTAGAAGTAGTAAGAGAGAGGTGACATTTTACTTCTAGGGGAAAGTCAACTCAGGTAACATTAGATTTCTCATCAGAAACTATGGAAGCTGTAAAGAAATGGTACAATGGACTTCAAGAAAGAACTATCAACCCAGAATTCTGTATGCAGCAAAGGTATCATTTAAGAATGAAGAGTGGAATGATGAAATTGTCAGATGAAGCACAACTAGGAGCATTTGTCATCAGCCAACAGAAATGGAAAGAATGAACCAGCAGAAGTTGATACTTGCGTACCAATTGTCACAGCAGCACAAGTCATAATTGTGAAATCCTGGAAGCAGCCTATAAATCCATCGACATATGAAAGGAGGAAGAAAACCTCCTATCTATGCATCATGGAATATCACTCAGCTATAAAGGATAAATTCAAGACATTTTTCAGAAAATGGATGCACCTTGAAAATAACATTAGGTAATAAATTAGATACACAAGCTTAAATACATATGCTTTCTCTCATTGAAGCAATTCAGAGTATAAATAGAGATCAAAGATTGATAAATGGAAATGGAGATGGAGCTTATGCAAATAAGAAGGGGGAAGAAGGGGAAGAGAACATAAAAGTTATTTATTTATTTATTTATTTATTTTTTGGCAGAACCGGGGATTGAACTCAGGCTCCTGCGCTTGCCAGGGAAGTGCTTATTCCACTGAGCCATCTCCCAGCCCCGTAAAAATTATTTAAAGGGTGTCGTATACATGTCCCAACTACCCACAGCAAGTGAGATCGTTGCATGTTGGGAACAGCTAAGTAATAACAGTAATGAAAATGGAGGAAGGGGATGTAGAGACAGTGGGAGGAGGTGGCCACGTGAATCATACATGTACCTACTCCCTAAGAAGAAGGTAAGCATGTGCAGCAAGCAGGTACTAATAATAAGTAAAGAGAAGAATGACTCTTGATAAATCTAGGGAAGAGAAAACTGGAAAAAGTGAAAATATGGATAACAACAATGTACTTTCCTTCTCGACTCACCTTGATTGTTTGACACTCAAAATTAATAACAGTGTCTAGTGGGTGTGCAGTGTTTGTAGAAAAAATATTGAAGACCATTGTGTTATAGATGGGGAGGTAAGGGAACATGGAGGAAGGCATGATCTCTACACGTCAACTGGCAAAATGTCAGCACCACTAGCTGGTGATAAGTTATGCAAGTGTGATTTAATACCTACAGTAACCACTGAAAAAGTTTTACAAAGGATGTACTCAGTCAGTATAGACTGGTCAAAACTCATTCTGAAAAATTCTGTGACCCACAGGAAGATAAAAAACTAAAAACAGAAACCAAAAACTAGAAAGAAATAACAGAAAGCAAAACAAAAAAAGTTGAGGCTTAAGAGACTGGTGCAGTAAAATAACATGACCCAACTCCACTCTCTATTCCCAGAAACTCATTTCAAATACAACTGTAAAGTCCCTGCCCATTAGCTCATTAGCTCAGTTGTTTAAGTGCATGCTTAAGCAAAGCACTCAGGCTCTAAATTCTGTGGTTCAATCCCCAGATCCTCATGCCTTACCAGACCTGCTCATAAGGCATGCTGAGCAGGCCAAAAAAAAAAAAATCCTTCAAATACAACTGTATACACACAAGTTGGAAGTAGAATGATGGAAGATTGTACCATGCAAATATTAATCAGAATTAAACAGAAATGCTGCCAAAGTAATTCAAAGGAATAAGCTTCATGTTTTCAGCAAATGTATAGGGACAACCTGGGAGCCACATGCAAAAAAGAAATTAAAGTTACCTTAACCCACAGACAAAAATTAACTGAAAAGTATCAAAGATATAAATGCAGATGAGAACACAGGAATAAATGTTTGGATTAGTCATGGCTTCTTGGATATGTTGCCAAAAGTAAGAGCAACACAATGAAAGAAGTTTGACTTCATGGATTTTAATTTTTTATTGTTCAAAGAGCTCTATGAGTAAAGTAAAAAGACAACCCATGGAATACAATATTTTTAAATCAGAAACAATGTTTGTAAATCACGTAAAATATAAAAATAACCAAGGTTGTAGCAGTTTTCTGTTGCAGTAGCAAATACCTGAGGTGAGGCATTTTATAAAGAAAGAGGGTTATGGATCTCACAGTTTTGGGGGCTGAAAGTCTGAAATCAGGCAATCTCATTGCCTCTCTGTTTGCCTCAAGTGAGTGACCCCTGGTTGGGGAACAGCACAGGGCTGGCTTGTGAGTGCTAACATGCTGAGACAGGAATCCTGAAACACTCAGGAGCCAGTCTTGATCTTTTTATAACACTTGCTCCCTCTGAACAAACCGAGGTCCCACAGGCGCTGCATCAATCCCCTTCAAGGTGAGGGACCTAATCACTGCTCGCCTTCATGAGGCCCTACCTCTTGAAATTGCTACCTGTCAACACCACCAACGTTGATGGGGTGGGGGACACTCAGACCATATTCAAACCATGGCACTGGTGAGCCATGAGGACAGATGACCCATCTTTTAAAATGACAAAGATTTGAAGAGTTGTTTATTCAAAAAGATTTACAGATGATTGATAAGTAGATAAGATGCTTAACAATGTTATTTAGAGATTGAAGAACAAGCAAGCTTACAATGAAAAACCCCTTATACTGGCTGTCTATAATCCAAAAAACAAGAACAAGTGTCAGAATATGGAGCCTTGTACATTTTGATTGTAAATGTAACGTGCAGCCACTTTGGAGAGTTGTTCTTCATAAAGTGAAGCTTATAGCTACTGTAATGTGCAGCCCTTCTACTCCTACATATGCATCCCTAGGAAGTGAAAACAAAAATCCACAGGAAGACTTGCATACAAATTTCATAGCAACATGTTCATAATATCCAAAAATGAAAGCAATTCAAATGTCTATCACTTAATGATGATAAGCTGTAATATACCCACGTGGCAGAATTTTAATCATTTTAATTTATATAATGGATGAATTATATCGTAGTAGAAATTATATGAGAAAAAAAGAAAGCAGAATTGGATACTTCAAATGAGATAATGTAGACACAAAATATAGCTTTATTTGTAATATCCCCAAACTAGAAACAATAGAAATGCTTTTCTGGGTTTTGTTTTTGTTTTTGTTTTTGTTTTTTGTATTGTAGGGAATGATCTACAGGGTGTTCAGGATCACACTACTAGATCAGACTCATAGTTATCCGCCTGTTTATAGCCTCCCAAGAGCTGGGATTACAGGCACGCGCCACCACACCCAGTCTCAAGTGCTGTCTTAGCGTGCCTCAGTGGCAGGACCGGCACAGCAGGCCCAGGGATTGAACCCGCAGGCCCTGCGTCAGCTTGCAGTCACTTTAATCCGCTGAGCTATTTGGCCAGCCCAAAAATGTTTTAATATGTGAATAATCAAGCAACTGTGTTATATTCATAGCATGAAATACTACTCAGCTCTAAAAAGGAATAAACTATTGTATTTCAAGGATGTTACATGGAGGAAGAAAATTCAATCTCAAATGATCAGATATTAATATATATTCATATGTTATATGAATCTGTTTTATGACTTTCTCAAAATGTCAAAATTATACATGTAGAAAACAAATTATAGAGATACAAAACAAGGGTGAGTGGTAGGAAGCTGAGGTGGCCTGTTGGAGTTTGCGTCTGTAGGTCCACCGCAAGGCTCCTGCAATTGTGGGGTGGCTTCTACAGTTTTTGATTGACTCATGGCCAGTGCTGGGACTATCGGTGTGAGCACAACACTCACCCTGCAGCGGGCAGCCTGCATGTAATATTGGGGAGGGGAAAAGGCTTGCTCTCTGCTGCTCCTCCCTTTTCGCTCTTGTTGCTTTTACTATTTTCTGCCATGAGCTGCTGCCCCTCTGCCGTGTGCCACCCTGCCTTGGAGCCAGCCGAGTATGGACTGAAACCTCTACAAACTATGAGCTAAATAAACCTTTCCCTCTTTAATTTGGGCATCAGGTCTTTTGTCTCAGCAATAAGAGAAAAATAACCAAGATGGGGACGATGTGACTGTAAAGAGGAGTAAGGTGAGGCCGACAAGATGGCTCAGTGGACTAAGTGCCTGCATAGGCAGTGCGCAGGGACTGGGCGTCAATCCCCCGCACCACATGCCACGCTGCACCAGCCCCCCGCCCCAGGCATGCTGAGCCAGCCACTGAGTCCGGGCGTGATGGTGCCTGCCTGTAATCCCAGCGCTGGGGAGGCTGAGACAGGAGGATCACTACGAGTCCGAGCTGTGAAGTGAGACCCTGTATCAAATTAAAAAAAAAAAAAATAGCATGAGGGAAGGAGTAGTTCTGCATCTTTTTTGTTACTGCTGTTTTAGGATCAAAACCAGCACCTGGAGCACTACAGGGTAAGTACAAGCTGTGCTGCTGAGCTGTGTCCCCAGCCCTGAGTCTGGGTCTTGATCGTGGTTGTGGTCACTTAGATCTACATGTGATCAAATGGCACAGAGCTATACACACGTACTGGACCCATTGGAGAAAGAACTCAGAACCTCTCTGCAGTAACTTTGCAAACTTCTGTGACCCTCTAATTCTTTCAACATTAGAAAGTGTAAGCAAAAGATACTTGGTGACAGATAGATAGAAATTTCCTCAGAGATGTTGGCACACTATGCTGCTTATAGGGACTGTTACATTTTAAATTAAATATTCTGTTTTCTCAAAATATAAACTGGCTATTTTATAGCTTGAGTTACTGAAACTGAAATTATCAACACAAGATGGCACTAAATAAAAATAGGAAAAAAAACCCTTTTATTTGGTGAATTTTGCTAGCATTCAGTTAAAACAGAACTGAACAAAATATTTATCAAGTGAATTATTGTTTAAATGTGCATTTAATTAAGTCCCAAATTTACATGAAAGCCAAATTCTTTTCAGCTTCAGTAATTTAGTTTTAATAACTGGTTCTATCTTCACTAATTAGAACATTTAAGCTGTATTGCACTTTCTAATCATGACTTAAATTTTCAAAGAGGTACACACAAAAAAACATAATTGTGAAATCTAACTAGAAGTGACTGTTAATAGTAAAACGTTAGCATTTTTATTTACAGTTTTCCCAACTAACAAACAGCTTTGAAAAGCTGAGGTTACATCAGATGAAACACAATAAAATTCACCGAAAAGAATTGTCTCACAGAGAAGAAACTCTCTTTGAACCAAGCAATTTGAACCAGAAATTAGAGGTAAGATATGTTTTCTTAGTTTCTTTGTATGCATTAAAGATTAATTTTCACTGTTGTTCTTGTGGGCTGTTCGTTTCTAGAATACACCGTGATTGTACAACTGTGGTTAGAAACACCATCACAGAGCAGCCTCTCATGGAATGCTTTTTCGTAGGGTACCTTCACTTGAAGCACTTAGTGAATTAAAACATCACTTTGATTTATACATCTTTTATATATATCAGCATTTGGGGAGAGCAAAAAAAAAAAAAATCACAGAAACTACAGCTGTTGAGTGAAATTGAGGGACACCCTTGGGGTCAGTTAAAGGGAAAAATCTAATAAATCTTTTAATGGCCACTTAACTATTGGGTTCTTAAATCCTGGTGAAGCCTCAAAATAGTTGTCAGCACAAGGCTTAAAGTTTCAGGGTTTTTCTTTAAAGCTATGGTGCAACTCTAATTTTAGCCTTTATCGCTCAAGACTTATAAAATGTAGTCTGTAGAAAGATTCACTGTGTCACGGATGCACTTTTTCTACTCTTAATTTTCCCACTTTAGAAAATACAAACCAGCTATTTTTTCCCTCTACTCTTGAGCGTTCCTCTATAAGTCATAAAACAGCAAGTAGATTCTGCTATAAATTCTTACCTAACCTTAGCTGAGATTTCAGGGCTGTCCAGTTACTCTTTTTAATTTGCCCACACTGACCCTTCTATTACCCCACTCAATTCCCTTCGTTCCTCCCAAGTCCTAAATCCCAGTGTCCCTACCATTGACAATGATCTCTTTTTCCTCTGTTCATTGATTGGTAATGGTTTTGCAACTCCCGTCTCCAAGTTGAGATGCCTTTTTGGAATTTTGGATCTGTTCCTTTCTCTTACTCTTCATGTTCCTGCCCCAATCTCCCCATTTGCCACTTCTCCTAATGAGTTGCCTCTGCTCTATCTCACACATCACACATCATCTCCAATTAACAGCTCTCTGCTCCAAACTATCTTTAATAAAAGTAGAGAAAAATTAGGCCTGGAATCATAGCCCTAAATCAAGTCTATTGCAAGAACTTTGTAAGAAGTCTTGGACTTCGTTCTTTAAAAGGTCTAAAAGGGGGTGGCCAAGTAACTCAGCAGATTAAAGTGCCTGCAAGCAGGCACGGGGTGGGGCTTCGATCCCGGGGTGCACTCAGGTGGTGATTGAGACTGGGTGTGGTGGTGCGTGTCTGCAATCTTAGCTCTTGGGAGGCTGTAAACAGGAGAATCACTATGAGTCTGATCTAGTGGTGATACCATGTACACCTTTCCCTAAAATGCAGGAAAAAATATGCAAATTTTACGTCTCACTGGATAATAGGTACAGTGCTTTACAAAATTCTCAGTGAGTTATCTGACCCTTGAGGAGAATGCGCAGTAGTACTGATTGCTTGGCTTTCACTGGCTCAGACAGTGTAGACTAACTTTAGAAGTATCCTGGTCTCGTAGTTGATGCCCAAAGATGTACACTGTAAAGCACATTTCTTTCACTCTAAATTAAAATCAAGACACTGATTATCCCTTAATTGACATTTTGTATGCTTTTGGGGTAAAATCACATACATATAAGTTGTTCCAACAGCAAAGCTTTACATTTATAATGTAAAACATACCCTGATGACTCATTTATTTGCCCTGTACCTTTAGGCACGTTGTTAGCCTCATAGAGATGCCATTTTTCCATCACTAAGTGGTGTTTAAAAATATAAGTGACATTATGGTTAGGGAGCAGTGCACAGCGAAGCATTTAAGGATGAAAATATATGAGGCCAAGAAGTTGCCTTAAAATATTCCAACAAAAGGAGTGAAGAGTTTGGAGAAATAAGGGTAGACCAAGCTGATGATAGCTCAGCTGAGTGAAGAGTATGTGAAAGTTTGTTTTACTCTCTATTTTGATATAGAAGTATGAAAGTTTTCCTTAAAAAGTTAGAATCATCTCACACGTGGAGGTTGATAAGAGTCCCTGTCATACAGTTATCACCATAGGCCATCTGCAAATATTTAGTGAGGGGGTACTTAAAAATAATGATATAATTTTAATGAAAATGACTCCCTCTGAGCAGCACCATGGCGGTAGGCAAGAACAAGTGCCTTACGAAAGACGGCAAAAGAAGGAGCCAGGAAGAAATTGGTCGATCCATTTTCTAAAAAAGACTGGTATGATGTGAAGGCACCGGCTATGTTCAACATAAGAAATACTAGAGAAACACTCATCACCAGAACTTAGGGAACCAAAATTGCATCTGATGGGCTCAAACATCATGTGTTTGAAGTGAGCCTTGCTGTTCTGCAGAATGATGAAGTTGCCTTTAGAAAATTCAAGCTAATTACTGAACATGTTCAGGGAAAAAACTGCCTAACTGCCCTGGCATGAACCTCCCCCACGACAAAGTGTTCCATGGTCAAAAAATGGCAGACCATGATCGAAGCTCATGTTGATGTCAAGACTACCAGGTGGTTATTTGCTTCAACTGTTCTTTATTGGCTTTACTAAAAAAATGCAACAATCGGATATGGAAGACCTCTTACGCTCAGCACCAGCAGGTCTACCAGATCCAAAAGAAGATGATGGAAATCATGACCCGAGAGGTGCAGACAAATGACTTAAAGGAAGTGGTCAATAAACTGATTCCAGACAGCACTGGAAAAAACAAAGAAAAGGCTTGCCAGTCTATCTGCCCTCTTCACGGTGTCTTTGTCAGAAAAGTAAAAATGCTGAAGAAGCCCAAGTTTGAATTGGGAAAACTCATGGAGCTTCGTGGTGAAGCTCTGGAAAGGCTACTGGAGCTAAAGTTGAACAAGCTGATGGATATGAACCACCAGTGTAAGAGTCTGTTTAAGATAATGATTTTTAATAGTGATAAATAAAATCCTATTTGTGATAGCAAAAAAAATGGAAAGAAAATGCCTACCTCTGACACTTAATTGTGAAGACCCAGGAAAGGATTTCCAGAGTAACTGGAGAAATTACTCTGAAGGTCTAGGGCATTCTACAGATGCCCTGAAGCTGAGGCAGACAGCTCCCATCTCTATGAAAGCCCTTAGGACTTTTGTTGATCTCTGTATGATCCCATTCAAGCACGTATTCTGCTCTGGCTGAGTGCTCTGGCTCTCTGACCAGGGAAGCCCCACTGGTTTTAGTACCAGCCAATATGTCTGTGACACACTTTTGTAACCCGTCTTGGCCTCAGTTCTGCCAATCAGTAATGAATTAAGGTTAATGATCCTGTGTCCCCATATCCCATGCTACAGAATGTTCATTTGTGCTGGAGAGATGATGCTAAGTATTTGTATTATTTAAAAGCTACCTACTGCTGAAGTCAAAATTTCTGAAATTTTGACTTATTCCAAAGACTCCTTTTTAAATTAAAGGCCAACACATTTTTTAAACCTTGGACTGCATTAATTTGAAAATGCAACCTATTCTACTAGAGGCTGACTTTGTAAATTTGTTACAAATATGAAAAAGTGTCATTTTCTATACCTAATTTCCAAATCATTGTCAGAATCAAAATAAGCAACTTTAAGTAGACTCTTTCTATTTACTGTATTATTAGTCTATCATGTGGCATTAATATGTATTTAGAAGAGAGGCTATCTGTCTGAATTTCTCTTATCACTCAATTTCAGGTAACATTTATACCCTATAAAGCTTCGTAAGTTATGGATTTTCTTCACTGATTATTTTGGGACTACAGATTTATAAAATGGAAATTTTCCTAAATGTCCTTTAAAATAGTTTCTCTATGGAAAATATGAAATGCCCTGTTTGCTTCACTTTAAGCAAGATTCAATTTTCATCCTAAAATAACACGTTTATTTTCTAGCGTAACCAATACAATAATTTCAGCCATCTTCAAAACAGCACTCTAACTCTGGCCAAATGAACTGTGTTCTTGACATTCTAGGGGAAATATCTGCACAGCCTTTATGTGACAAAAGTATTATATCTATCATACTATAAATTGCTACCTTATAACTACAATTTACTGCTTTACTACATAGTCCTTGCCTTTTCCCTTCAAGACAAAATTTTAGCCACACAATAGGTATAATTTTTCTTCTCTCCACATAACTTGGAAGATAGATTATTCATATACTGTGTATATATGTACACAATAATATATAGCCATGAATTGAGTAGTTACAGAGTGCATTTCCAACTATGTTTTCTTTGAAAAGTTGAGTGAGAAAGTTCTAACTTTTAGGAAATGTTAATATCATGCTTTTGCTTGTAAAGTCATGAAATCTAAGTGGTGCCTGGGCTTTGTCACTACTGTGATCAGCAGAAAAGTAATGAGGTACCTAATAACCCTTAGCATTAAGTTGCTTATAGCTTGGACAGAGCACTAAATGTAACGGCCAGCTCTAGGCAAAATCGCAAAGTCATCTTTGGTAGCTCCAAAGCCACAACCCTCACTCACGTTATGAAGTCGTGCACAGGTAACAATGGTCTAGGCCTACATTACTTGAACCAAAACTTCAAGATCCAGCATACTCTATCAAGCTAGCTCTACCTTCTCTTCTCCAGGTAGCCCAATTTAGTACTTTCTATGTGAAACCTGAGATGTTTTTTCTAAATGGAACCTGAGACAGTTTTTCTACTCCCAAGAGTGATGATTTCCGCTTCGAATTGGACAATAGCTTGGAAAACTGCGAGGGACTGTAGCCTTAGTTCAAGGTGCTAGAAGAGAATGCCATACCCTGGAAGTGTTGCACACCAGACATCTGTTTCTCCTAGTCCTGAAAGCTGGAAGCCCAAGATCAGAGTGCCACCATGGCTGGATACGGTTGGGGGCTCCTCCCCCTGGTACACAGACATCAATCTGCTGTTTGTATCCTCACATATCAGGAAGAAAGAATGAAAGTTAGTTAACATCTCTTATTACAGCAGTGGGTTTCAACATCATAACCTAATTACCTCTCCAGCCCACTCTCCTCATCACGTTAGGCATCAGGTTTCCAGATATGGACTGGTGGAAGGTACATAGCAGTCACTCCGCATGACTTAGCCTGCCCTCTGAAACACGAAGGGGACACATTCAGTGACTGAGTAAGGAATGAAAGGAGAGAAAAACATTTTGTGTGATGAAATAAATTATTAGTTGAAGCAAAAAACTTTTTGTATGTATTTGGTACAACAGGGTCTCACTACACAGCTCAGACTCATAGTGATCCTCCCGTTTTCAACCTCCCCAGTGCTGGGATTATAGGTGTGCGCCACCATATCAGGTCTTGGTGGCCAGCTTGGTATGCCTGGTGGTGGGGCCTGCACTGCCTATGGTGCCAGGAATTGAACCCCAGTCCCTGTGCTTGCTGAACCAGGTGCTTAGTCCACTGAGCTGTCTCACCAGCCCTGCAAGAGATTGTTTGAAACAATCTTATTAATAATCAACATTTGTTATCAGACATTTTTATATATAGTTTTTAATAAATAGCATTTTTAATATCTTATGAATTAAGTTAAAAATTTTATATTGTCATACCAAAAACTGAAAGACATAGGTTGACTATAAAAGATCTGAAAATTTGAAATTCCAAATGCTCTAAAATCTAAAACTTTTTGAGCCCTGATGTGGTGCCACAAGTGGAAAGTTCTGCACCTAATCTCATACAGTGAGTCACAGTGAAGACACAGGTACACTGAAAATACTGTATACAAGGACCTTTGGGCTATCTGGAGAGAGCATATAGGAAACATAAATGAAGTTTTTGTTTCTACTTGGGTCCTATCCCCATGTCATCTCATTATGTGTTTACGGATACATCAGGAGCTATTCAGCTATAGAAATAAATCCAACACAAGTGATTTGATACTTTTTTGGTTTGTTTCTTCCTAATATGTTGCTATGGTTTATATCTCGTTGTCCCCCCAAATCCTCATGCAGTCACTGGGGTGACTTCTAGAACCTTTGATTAATTCATGGTCCAGGGCTGACTGTGGGTGTGAGTGCTATACCTGCCCCAGGGTGGATAACCTCAACATAATATAAGGGAGGGAGAGATGCTAGCTAGGTTTTGTAGCCACTGTGGTCTTTGCTGTTTTCTGCCACCACAAATGGCTGCCCTCCGCCATGTGCCACTCTGCCTTGGAGCCACGCAAGTATGGACTGAAACCTCCACTAACTGTGAGCTAAATAAACCTTTCCTTCCTTAATTTTGAGTGTTAGGTATTTTGTCCCAGCAACGAGAGAAAAGTAACTAAGACATGTAAAAAATGGATTTAATTATTTTCCTCAAAATGAAGAGGTATAAATGAAAGAAGCCCTATTCATTGTGCTTTAAATGAATAATATCCTTCAATTAATGTCTCCACCCTCCATTTTTAAAGGAATTTAGAGCAAAGTCAAGAGAATGGGACAAGCAAGAGATACTGTATCAGACTCATCTGGTTTCTTTAGATGCTCAACAAAAATTATTATCTGAAAAGTATAATCAATTTCAGGTAAATTATCTAAAACTATTCTTTAACTTAGAAGAAATTAGAAGCTATATATTGGCATCCTTGACATTCAGCATGTAATCCATTTGCAAATAGAAATGTCGGTTAAGGAAAAATAACCAGAGTTGATCCAGCAGTGGGTGGAATTACAGTGCATGAAATAAACATAATGACAAATTTAGTCTACATGTCTGAAGGTATTGTCCTATTTAAAAATCCTGTTGTTGGGCAGCGGAGATAGCTCAAGAGTCTAAGCACCTGCCTGGGCAAGTGCAAGGCCACGAATCAATCCCCGGTACCACATGCTGAGCCAGGCCTGCCCTGGTGCACTGAGCTGGCCACCAAAACCAGGTGTGGTGGTGCACGCCTATAATCCCAGCACTGGGGAGGCTGAAACAGGAGGATCTCTATGAGTTCAAGTTCCATAGTGAGACCCTATACCAAAATACATTAAATAAATGAGTAAATAAATAAAATCCCATTCTTTAAATTCTGCATGTTTTATAGGCCTAAGATAGGCAGTTGAGACATACTGTAATAGCTTGAGTTGCTTTACATTTCCCTACATACTTCTAAGGCTGAACATGTATTTTGTAGCTGTTTTTATTTTCTCTTCTGTGAATTGCCTATTAATACTTTGCTTTTTATTTTAATTGACTTTTTTTTTTTTTTTTTTAGCAGAACCAGGGGTTGAACTCAGGCCCTGGTACTTGCCAAGGAAGTGCTTATTCCACTGAGCCATCCTCCCAGCCCTGGTTGTCTTATTGATATGTAGAATTTTTTTTTTTTTTTTTTGATACAGGGTCTGCAAGGTCTACAGGGTCTCACTACATAGATCGGACTCATAGTGATTCTCCTGTTTTTAGCCTCCCCAAGATCTGGGGTTACAGGCATGTACCACCACGCCCAGTCTCAGTCCATCCCAGTGTGGCCCGGGGAAGGGACCAGCACGGCATACAAGAACCCCAGCCACTGCTCTCTGCCTAAGCAGGCACTTTAGTCCTCTGAGCTATCTGGCCCACCTGATATGTACAAATTTTATACATTAGGAATTATTAAACCTTCTTAGGTGGGTTGCCAACATCCTCCTTGCAATCTAAGGTTCTGATTTATTTACTTCTGGTCATAGAGACGATTGCATAATTTAATTCATGATTTTCTCTTTCTACAGGTTCTAGATTTTTCTTAATAAGACTGCTGTACCTTTAATGTCCTTCCCTATTCAATACAGACGTGTTTTGTCCTTATATCACCTGAAACTGAGGGTTTTCAAACAAACGTAATACTGCATTACACAGGCCAAGCTTCATTTTCTAGCAACATACTCAAGCATTTATTGATTCGTTGTGCCGGCCTTGTGTAAGCTTAAGCACGGTGCTCTTCACTTAGTCACTGTTTTCATCTTCTCCAGAGACAGACACAGAATTACCAAACTCAAGTCAATGGCAACAAGCAGTGCACGGAAGACAACGGCTCTGAAATTCCTGGCCTGGCGTGTCGGCCAGATCCCGGATGTGAAACCAGCGCAAGAGACGAATTCATTATTGAAAAACTGAAGTTGGCTGTGAGTGAAATAGCATTAAGCAGGAATAAGCTACAAGACGAGAACCAGAAGCTTTTGCAAGAACTGAAAATGTACCAGCGACAGTGCCAGGTGAGGGCTGAGCTTTACTGTCACGCTAATACTGCCTAGAAGTTGTAGTGACGTTGACTCCACAGGTACAGGAATTAGAAAGCTCATTTTCTGTCACACGTGTAAACTGAACTCACCCTTAGGGTGTCCTTGTCATCCCGCGGGCACTCTGGAGAACATTCAGTCATCCCGCGGGCACTCTGCCACACAACGTGGTTCTGCAGTGGCATCGTAATAAGGCAGTCAGTGCCCTGTAACGGTAATCACCAAGCCATTGCCCTGAGCCGTGCTCCCCCATCTGTCCCTTCTGTTTTCCCTGATCCTGTCTCTTTGACTCGTAAGAAGTCTCGGGTTAGAGATAGAGAGAAGTCCTCAAAGGAAAAATGATCTGCTAAGCCCAGTGAGAGGCATGGGGGTTATTCTATGATTTATGACTAGAAACCTGTTATGTTAGCTTTCTGTCGCCATAATACAATATTCTGAATAATCAAGTGCAGTGGATTCCTAACTGGTGCTCAATTTATTGCACTCAGCTGAATTAAACTAGCGTGGTGCTGGGTGCGGGAGGCCCGCCCGAAGGTTGTTGCTGGCAGCATGAAAGGCAGAACAGGAGAGGCTGCAGGGACGCTGTTGGGGATGCTGTTTGGAGAAGCTGTGGGAGCTTTTGAACGCTGCCAGTTCTCTCCGGCAGTGCTGTTGGAGGACTCTGCCATGCTGGCTTTCCTAGCGAACTTTGGAGAAGAGGGTTTTCATCTCAAGCATCACGTCCTGGTTCTGGAGGGGAAGATGGCACCGCTCAGCCTCGTGGAGAAGCTTGTCGCATTGGCTTTCCTGATAGGAACTCAGTTTCCTTCCCGTTGTCACAGCCCAGGGCCAGGCCCTCCACACAGGAGCTGTGCAGACATTCAGCATGGAAACCGGAGGACTTTATTGCAGTCATTTAGCAAAGATTAACCTAGAATTTATTTTTAGATACATTTCACATTGGCAGGATTGATGATCTATCTGAGTATTTCATTTTTCTTAACCCAACGATTTTTTTTTCTTTTCCTTTTTTGTCTTTGTACTTCTTGTGATTATTAGGGAGCTTATATAGCACTTAATCAAAACTGGTCATCACTGAGTTTTTACTAAATATATATCTCTTATTTACAAATAACCAACTCTCCAGAAAATCGGTGGATGCTGCACCAGCGTTCGGGTCTCCTCTGTTCTTTTCACATTGGTCTCCCAGCTCCTCTCATTCACTGGCTCTGTGTGTGTGTGTGTGTGTGTGTGTGTGAGAGAGAGAGAGAGAGAGAGAGAGAGAGAGAGAGAGAGAGAGAGA